GATCCAGAGGGCTTTCCGGAGGTACCTGCTGCGGCGCTCGGTGAAGCAGGCGTCCTACATGTACCGGCACAGCCAGGACGCGCTGGGCGAGGACGCGCCCGAGAAGGAAGGGCTGATCGCCACCAAAATGCAGGAGATTTATGGGAACACTGGGACAGATGTGGACACAGCCCCTGCCCTGGGCCTCAAGCCCATTCCCAGCTCAGAGACGCCCCAGGATGCTCCTGAGGAAGCACAGGCTTGGGGTAAGAAACACGTGGTGAAAGAGTCGCTGGTGTAACACGAGGAGATTCCACCTCTGGCCCAGCCTGAAGAGACTTCATTTGTATCTCCTGTTCAAAGCTCTTCCATGCACAGATCTCTAGATCTTAGATATTGAGCTAATTTCAGACATTTCAAGCAACCACCTTGAATTTCAAAGCAGGATCTCCTCCTGATCCTGGGTTTTACAGCCCACTGCACTTGCAAATAGTTAAATTCTTTTTCTTATGAGAACTCAAATGTGAAATCTGTTGTCGGTGAAAGAGAAACAAGTTAGTTTTGAAATAATCTCATCACGGTAATGATGGTTTTCAGGCGTGAACAGAAGAGTATGGTTGTCCTTTCACTTAAAGTAATTATTTATTAATGTTATTTCACAATTAAGAAATTTTCCTGTATTTTATTCTTCCAGAGTGCAGCCAAGCAACCAGTAAAGATGAGCCAAGTGAAATAATATTAAGAATAATTACAGAAAACAGAAGGTTTTGTGAACAAAAATCTCCAAAGTCTTAAAGTAGCACCTTTCTTTTGCACCTCTGAATAAGCTTGATTATTTTTTGTTACATACAAGAGAAAGTGCAATTATGTCTTAAAAATTGGTTTGCAAAGCCAAAGCAAAGCATCTGCAGATTTGTTCTCAGGGTTAAATATCATGTTTTCAAGGTCTCTGAATATGCATTGAAAGCAGAAATCATTCAGGTCTTTGTAGGACGAATGTAAACACTATTTATAGTCAGGTTTTACTCTCTTTTCCCATTTCCATCCAGGTTTTGTGGCAGGAAAGCAATGGGCAAAGGTAGGATTTGGAAAACATCCTCCAAGAATCCCTGGTCCCCGAGACAAAACTCTCCAGGGTTTGTTTTTTTTTTTTTTTTCTAGCCCTGTTGCATGAGGAACCATCCCACTGGAGTGCTTTTGGTTAGCATTCCAAATGTCCTCTTCATTAGTGTTACTTAATGAGATGCACCCCCAGGGATCAGAGCAGATGTTTGAACGATCCTTTCCACACACTGCCTTAGGGGTGCCCTAAATCCCACCCAAGCCCCAGGTGGCTGCATGGAATAAACAATCCCACTGGGGTGTGAATCCCAAAATCCTCAGGCAGAGCATCCTTCCCTAGGCTGGGGCTGCAGAGAGGCCCTGGTGGCACTTTCTGGGTGAGCCAGGCAGGTCCTCACCAGAAACCTCCAGGCAGAGGAGCATTTTCCCAGGGGGAAAAGGGATTTGCTGTTCTTCACACAGGTGAGCAAAAGGAAAGTAAATCCAGGAAAATGGCCTGGGCACAGCTGAGGCTGCCCCTGGATCCCTGGAAGTGCCCAAGGCCAGGCTGGACAGGGCTTGGAGCACCCTGGCGTAGTGGAAGGTGTCCCTGCCCATGGCAGGGGGTGACATTGGATGAGCTTTGAGGTCCTTCCAACCCAAGCCAACCTGTGATTCTCTGAAAAGTGGAGTTCACCTCTAATCACCTTCTGCCTTCAAAAGGGAAAAAAACCCTCTTGAGATCAAAACAAACACGAACCAAAACCTCTTCCAGTTCAAACAAGGCTGTTGCTGAAGCCAAAGGCTCTGTCTTTTTGTACTCTGATGATTCTCTTCTCTTCCCGGGCTGCTTCGGGCGCTGCCATCACAGGTGCCCCACGGCCAGGCTGGCCAGGAGCAGTGCTTGGCTTGGACCCACGAGCTGCCAGCCAGGTGGCAGAGCAGGGGACACTCAGCTTGTCCCCTGTGCCCTCATTTCCATGCCGATGCTCCCCGCAGCAGGAGCCCGAGCTGCTGTGGCCGGCGTTTCCGTGGGAAGCACCCCTGGCATGGCAGTCCCCGCCCGGACTGTGGTTCACAATCGATGCTGCTTCTACGTTTGTGTCGTCGGGGATGGGGAAATGCCCCAGAGCAGGGTTTGTGTGAGCTAAAGCCGTTTTTCTTTGTACATTTCTTATAATAAACAACTGTAAATGATCTGGTATTACGGTACCAAGTGTGTTGGGGTGTTTTGAGGGAGGAATGTTTTCCCTGTGCTGGGAGGGGTGAACACCCCTTCCCTTGGCTCCCTGTGCTCAGCCTTGCACCTGCCAACCTCAGCAGGTCCTGGGGGTCTCATCCCGGACAGGAGCCCCCAGAGCTGTCCCCTGGGACCTCCAGCCCAGTTCCCAGAGCCTCTGCTCTGCTCCTGATGCCATCCCCCGGAGCCATCAGTGCTTGCCGGGAGCCACAGGAGAGGCTGCCGTGGGCTCGACCAAGAACAGAGGAGGGTTTGGAGAAGGTTGGAGCCCCCGAGTTGCCCCACACAGGCTCCAACCCCACCCCAGCATCCAGGAGGGAGCAGGTGAGCACCCCCGGGAGAGGACAGGGCTGGGGGAAGGAGGCTCTGCGTCAGTGCGGAGGAGCCGCCCGGGCCCCGCTGACGTCCCCGGGGCCGCGGCTCGGTTCGCCGCTGCTGCCGCTGGAACAGCTCGTCCCGGGGCTGGCGTCAGCCGGGCAGAGCCGTCTGTGCCAGCAGGCGGGGGCTGCAGGGCCGGGCAGCTGTGCTGGGCACGGTGAAACCCGACCCCGCTGGACAGGGAGGGCTGGGCAAGGTGGGGAAGGGGCAGCTGCCGGCGGGGGCTCTGCCCTGGGAGCCGTGGAACCACAGTGACCCAGGCGAAGAGGCGTGGGGACGTGGGACCCTCCCCGTGGGGCCACCAGGTTCCCCTCCACCCCACATCAGGGGTGCTGTAAGCACAGGGGTCTGCCCTGAGCCCCTCAGTGCCTTTCAAGGGTGCCAAGGAGCCCTCGGGCAGCACGGAGCTGATTTGGCCACTGTCACTGCAAATCCTCTTCAGTTTGTGCCCCACTCCTGGTTTTACCTCCCAGGGCTTCCCCAGGCACTTCCAGCAGCCCAGTTTCCATCTGCAGCCCCAGAATGCCACAAAAACCCCTCCAGTGCCTGCCAAGCACGTGGGCATCCCTTTTTCTTTGTCCTGCTGGGATATCAGGGCCAGGCTTTGCTCTTCCATCCAGACCCAGGGGTGATGGCAGCAGGGACTTGGCAGCACTGCCCCACATACAGAAGGCACATCTCCATCATCATTCCCTCATGGAGCCACTTTTTCTCAGGGAAAATTTATTTCTCTTGTGCCTGTCCCTTTGTATGCAAAGTCAGGCTGGGCTGGTACTCAGCACCCATCAGATGCTCAGAACTGGCAAATACCCCACCCAGCCTGCAGAAGATGAAGGTTTGGGGAGGCCTACACAGAACCAGGAGAAGGCACATCTCCCATCATCATTCCGTCATGGAGCCACTTTTTCTCTGGAAAACTTTATTTCTCTTGTGCCTGTCCCTTTGCATGCAAAGTCAGACTGGGCTGGTACTCAGCACCCATCAGATGTTCAGAACTGGCAAATACCCCACCCAGCCTGCAGAAGATGAAGGTTTGGGGAGGCCCTGGGCAGTGGCACCAGGCTCTGGGGACCAACAGGACTGGCAGAAGTACCCAAAGGTGTTTTTCACTGGAGTTACAGTTCAGTGCTCACCCACAGCTGCTAACGAGCAACAACCGGGGGGGGCAGAGCCTGGGGGAAACTGCTCCTGCAGCAGAGCTCACCTTGGGGGCCTCGCTGTGCTTCTCTGGGGCCTGGCTGTCTCCAAGGTTCCATGGAGAAGGATCTTGGGAGTGGAGAAGGGTGGGCATGGCTGGTACCCAAGTGACTCCTTGTTTTGGCCTTTTCCCCATCTCTTCTCCTCACTGGAAACACTCAAAAAAGTGGAAGTGGCACTTGAGGACACAGGTTAGTGGTGTCATGGTGGTACTGCTGAGCTGGTGATCCTTAAGGTCTTTTCAAACCACAGTGGTTTTGTGATTGACTCATGCTTCTATGATTTTAGATTTCTGGACTCCCTGGGATGCAGGGATGGGAACTGAGGGACCCATCCCACTGCATCCCACAACAAGCAACCCCACAAACATCCCCTATTCTTACCCCACTCCTGCTGCAGCTCTTGACTTCTGGCCACCATCAATCCCTGTCCATCCCCTTCAGGGCCAAACACCCTGGGAGGATCTGTGGAGCTGGGGGTCACCCCCATCCTGTCCCCCAGAGATGTGGCCAGGCAGCACCAATGCCATTCCCATGGCACATCTCATGCTCAGCCAGGTTTGGCACCTCCTGCTTGGCCGATGGGCTCATGCCCAGCTCTGCTGCAGGTCCAGTCCTGGCCACCTCCAGGGAATATTGGCACCACCAGGGTGGACAGTGCCCAGGGACACAGAGATGGACAATGCCCAGGGACACGGAGAGGAATAATGCCCGGGGACAGGGGGATGGACAATGCCCAGGGACAGGGGGATGGACAATGCCCAGGGACACAGAGATGGACAATGCCCAGGGACAGAAGGGTGGACAATGCCCAGGGACACGGAGAGGGACAATGCCCGGGGACAGGAGGGCGGATGAAGCCCAGGGACAGAAGGGTGGACAATGCCCAGGGACAGGGGGATGGACAATGCCCAGGGACAGGGGGATGGACAATGCCCAGGGACAGGGGGATGGACAATGCCCAGGGACACGGAGAGGGACAATGCCCGGGGACAGGAGGGTGGATGAAGCCCAGGGACCCGGGGCTCACAGGCACGGCCGCCCCAGCGTCTGCACCGCATTCAAAACCAGCCCCGAGGGAAAGTCCCCAGCGGGGAGGATTTACATGAGCAGGAAAGGGGCCGCGCACAGAGCGGCAGCTTTGCCATTTTTAGGTACTGGGGCCAGGGCGGTGGGAGCAGCCACTGCTTCTGCAGAAGCACGGGTTGGATGTTTTCCTGCCCTGGGCACTGAAGTATGGCTGGTCTGGGCACGAGGCTCTGGCTGCTCCAGGGGACCCTCTGGCTGCTGCCTCTGCTCACAGGTAGGCACCAAATGGGCTTTGCACTTCAGAGCAAGGAGCCAGGACAATGGCCTGGGCTGTGTCCCTTGCTCCAGGGCTTCCCCCATCTCTGCCTCAGTGCAATAATTTTAAGCTTTGTGCTAGTCTCTCTCAGCCCTGCTCTGTGCTGGGAGCCTCCCAGCGAGCCCAGGAGGGCACACAGGGCTCAGAGCCCAGTGCCTGCCTTGGGTTTGGGTTTTGCTTCCCTTCCCTTGGGGTGTGCAGATGGGACACATTCTGGGGCAGACAGGTGGCTTTGGCTGAGCGGCTGCAAAGCCAGCCTGGCTGGGGCTGCAGGTGGCAGGAGAGAAGGGTCGTTGAGGTTTATTAACCATTTATTGCTCTCAGAGGCCTGGGAATGGGGCTGGCACATTGCCAAGTCTATGGCCTCTGCTCTGTGGGGTTCAGTGCCCAGGAGCAGAGGAGAAATTGGGGGGGGGGGGCGAAATGCTTTTGGGGTGATTTATGGAGTCTGTGTGAACATCCCTGCGCTGTTTCCCTTGGAGAAGCAGCAGCAAACCCAGGACATGGCTCCTGTCCCCATCCAGCTCCTCTTGCCTGACACAGGGACAGCTACAAGAACCTGCAGCAGATCCCATCCTCAGAGGGAAACGTGTGCCCACGTGGCCACACAAGCCCAGCATGGATTCAAGGCTGCAGGGTTTGAACTTGGCTCTCATGATAATTTTGGGGGAGGACAGGGGAAGTTCAGCCCTCCTGTGGCTGCAGTGGAACTCCTGACACAGAGGGGCGTGAGGGACCAGCCTGGTCTTCCTTTAGAAACACCAACAGAACCTAGGGAGCAAAGGCTTGGCTGGTGGCACTGACAGGGACACAGCCAGTGCCCAGCCAGGACAAAGGGCATCTCTCATCCTGGAACAAAATGGAATGGGGCAGGAAGGGAGGATTTGCCTGCAGAGGTGTTGGTGCTGAACATGGACAGGGCAGCAGGGACCTGGAAGGGGCTCTGGGGCAATGAGAGGAGCCCCTGCCCAAGCCAGGAGGCTCCTACAGGCTGGAGTCTGAGGAGGGTGGCACAGAGCTCAGGCTGGGGAACTGAACCTTTCTTCTTTTTCTGTTCCTTCTTCTCCTTCTGGGGATGGGGAGGTTTGCAGCTGCCCTGCAGGGAGGTGCTGCAGCCCCACCTCCGTGCCAGCTCCTCCACAGGGTTTGGTGAATCTCCATCGAGAGGAGGGAACTGGGCACTCAAGCGGGGCAGTAAACAGGGCTGGGGCTTCCTGCCCAGCTGCAGCAAGAGGAACTGGCCCAGAGGCACTGGAGCTGTGGGCAGGGCACCCGTGGGTGCTGGGGGGGTCCCCACCTCCCCCTGCTTCCTGCACTGCAGGTCCCACAGCACCAGCCCTTGTCCCAGGGGCTGTGTGGCCATGGGATCTGGGAACACCCCTGGCCACCACAGGGCTCGAGTCCAGGAAATCCCAGCAGGGAAGGGTTTCTGCTTGGTTCAGGGAGTGGGAATGCAGAGCTGGGAGTGTCTGGGACCTTCCCAAAAGGCACCAGCCTCGGGGCATGATAGAGAGCAGATTTCACTGGGGTATCAACCAGAAAACAACCTGGAAAATTTTCAGGAAACAAAATGGAAATTGAAGGGTTTGTACCCAAATCTGCACTGCCCCAGGTCCTCTGAGCAGGGCTCTGTTGTTGCTCCATCCCCTATGGAGTGGGCAGGAAGGGCCAGGGCACCTCCACCCCACTGGGGACATCCTGGTGGGCTCCTGGCCACGATCTCAGGCCCTTCTCCTGTCTTGCAGGTGGGATCCCAGCAGACAAGAACAGCACCGCGAACAGCACAGGTACCCCCAGACCTGCTGGGCTCTTCCCCTGCGTGTGTCCCCAGGGTCCTCCTGTCCCACAGAGCTGCTGTCCCACCCCCCATGGGCTGTTCCCCCACAAAGGCCATCCCCAGGCTGTGACATCTCCCATGGCTCATCCCCAATCCTGCTCCTTCCTCTCTCTCTCTGCAAAGCCAGATCTGCTTGTTCTTTCCTGAGCACCCAAAGGTTTTTCCTTTGCATTTGCTGCGTAGCCAAGTCTGGGACCAGCACTGGGCTTGTGCCACAGCACTTGTGCCATTGTCCTTGGCCATTCCCACCCCTGGGGCCCTAAGGGTGATCTCTGCAACCCAAATGGGCTCCTAAAGTCACCACTCTGGCATTAAACATGGCCAAAAAACACAAAATAAAGCAAAGGGCCAAAAAATGTGGAAGCAAAAGAGAAAACAGCTGGGATTCCACAGGCTGTAATTTTGGAGCTGGGATTAACTAAACATGCACAGAGAGGGGTGCGAGCAGGACAGAAGTATTGGAGCAAAGACATTCCCACAGAAAATTGGAGTTTCCATCATCATGCCTTGTGCAGGCTGACCTAGAACAGAGACTAGACAGAGCTGGAGAATACAGGTTTATTTATTAGGAGACCTCAATAGATCCACCTTGGGGAGCACAAGAGCCCAGCCAGGGCTGCACCCCAGGTGAACCCAAAATGGTCACAAAATGCACCACTGGTCATGGGGTCTCTCACTTTTATAAGCTCTGGTCCATTTGCATATTGGAGTTAATTGTCCAATTACAGCTTTAGGTTATGCAGTCCCATCCTTCATGTTTTCTGTCTTCAGCCCACATTGTTTCTGCTCTTGGGCCTGAGATTTGGATCATTTGTCCTTGGTCCCCAGCTAGAGAAGGAATTGTTTTGTCTCCCTACTCTGTGCAGAGCTCACCATCCCCTCATGTGAAGCCCAGACCCACGCACTAAAGCAGCACAGAACCTGAAAAATAGAAAAGCTAAACCTGAGGCATCAATTAAAAGCAGACTTCCACCAAAAGCCTCAGATCTCATAGAATCACAGAATATCCTGATTGGAAGGCACCCCCACGGCTCATCCAGTCCCACTCCTGGCTCTGCCCAGACACCCCAGCAATCCCACCCTGGGCATCCCTGGCAGTGCTGTCCAAACCCTCCTGGAGCTCTGGCAGCCTCGGGGCTGGGACCAGTCCCTGGGGAGCCTGGCATGAGGATAATTCACCAAAACCAAGCTGGATGCTCAAAAGCAGCATGAAAATGGGAAGCTCTTTGTGTGGGAGGTGCTGGGGGGCTCTCATGGCAGTGGCTGCAGTGACAGCTTTGTCCCCTGCAGATGGCATGTGTCCCCCGGTGCACCAGAACGTGCGGTACGTGGCCGTCAAGAAGAACATGCCCATCTACTTCATCTGCTACACCCAGGAGCCCCAGCTCATGCAGTGGTACAAGACAGCAGAGAAGAGGGAGGACCTCTCTGTGCTGGATCAGAACACAGCCAGCTACCACATCGAGAGGACGAACAGCTCCATCAACCTCACCCTCCTCAGGACCAGCTTCGAGGACAGCGGGATCTACGTGTGTGACAGGAAGGGCCTGATGCACAAGGAGAAGCTGCACTCATGTGGGACAGAGCTCCGGGTCATGGGTGAGTGGCAGCTCCCCATCCTCCTGCACCCCAGGAGATGCTTTTTCTCCTTCTCTCCCATTTCCCCCTCCATGTGAACCCCCCATGGTGCTCCCACACCTCCCCCTTGCCCTGTGCTGGTGGGACCCTCTCTGACCCAGCTGTGGGTGCTCGATGGCACACAGAGGTTCCATTCCTCACTGCCAGCCCCAAGGAACAGGACAACCTCCCTGGGTCTGCCCTGGCATAGCCATCCTGCAAAACCCAGGGACATGTCCCTCTAATAAATCAGATTTGTCCTGCTCCTGGTGACTGCCGGGTGCTGCCCAAGGTGTCCCATCCCAGAGCTGGTCCCTGATGGACCCTGGGGACAGCTGCAGTGCTCTGGTCTCTCCCAATGCAAAGGACAGGTCACCCTGGTCCCCACATCCCCCCCTTGGTGACACACTCTGGGCATGGCAAGCTCATCCCTCCCCTGCAGCCTGGCTCAGAGGTGACCTGGGCTCTCCCTGTGCTGCTGCTCCCAGGTACCAGCAGCATCAAGCAGTACCAGAACAGGAACACGCTGAAGGACGCCATCATCATCATCCAGTCCATCCTACTCATTGTCTTCATCAGCATCCCCATCCTCCTCTTCCTAGACAAGGCAAGTGCCTCCAGCAGAGGGGATGTCCCCAGCCGGGCTCACAGCATTGTCCTGCAGTGCATCCAGGCAGGCCAGTCCTGGCCGTGGGATGGGTTTGGGGTTGTGGGTGGGAAGGTGGATACGTGAAATGGGAACATACCCATCTCAAATGCTGTGTGGGGACTCCATGGATGTGCCTGTGGAAGTGGTGGGACCTGGCCTGAGGACCAAGGCTGGGGACAGGGGATCCTGGTGAGTGCTGACCCCAACCTGTGACTCTCCATAGGGTGAAGACAAGAAGACCCCAGAGGAGGACCACACCTATGAGGTAATTAATGATAGCAGGACCTCCCTGACATCACCTGAGCCTTCACACAGGGGGTTGCGCCCCTGCTGGGTGTCTGATCACCTTGTAGCCCCTTCCTTGGGAGGAGGATCAGGGCCCCTTCCTCCCCAGTTTCACATCAGCTGTGCTGAGCTGCCCCAGGAAGCAGCCAGTGCACATCCAACATCCACCATCCACCATCTCCATCCTCTGTCCCTGTCAGAAGCTGCTCCAGGCTCAGGGGGAGCAGCCTGGGAGGGTCCCCAGTGGGTGTCCCAAGGGATGTGCCATGGCTGGAGCTCCCTGCCATGTCCCACCCTGTCACTCTTGCACTGAGAATGACACAGGAACAGGCGAGAGGCAGTATTGTAGAAAGAGTAAAAGAAGGCTTTATTCAAGAGACCCTTGTGGTTTATATGGAGTGATAAGATACATTCTATTTGATTGGCTACTTAACAAAAACACCTTTCTCACACACCGTCCTTGAGAAGAACAGAAAGACAAAGTAGAAAAACACCACCTGCAGATTGTTTATACTAACAAGTTATCACATCCTTACAACTCCCTAAAAAGTTCTCACAAGCCACTGTGAGAAACCCTTGCCGTTTCTCTCTCTCTGTCCCGTGGCACCCACACCACCCTCCTTGTCGTTGCTGCAGGGGCTGGAGGTGGAGCAGATGGCCACCTACGAGGACATCACTCCTTTCCGGGACGTGAAGGCCAAGTGGACAGTGGGGGAGCACCCAGGTGAAGAGTGAGGGGTCCTGTGCCCCCTGCCAGGCCCTGCCAGCACCCTGCCAGCCCCCGTGGGGACAGATCCCCTGGAGCACGGCTCTGCCTGGATCCCGGGCTGCCAACACCTGCACAGCCCAGCTCGGGCGGGGAGCCTGCTGCCCTGGGGTGCTCATGAGTCTGGGCTGTGTCCCCGAGGCTGCCCTGTCCCACTGTCACTGCCCCCGTCCCGCTGACTGACCCCTAAAGCTTCTGTAGAAATTAGGAGCCACCTGTGATCCCCCAGCAGCGAACTGGTCACACAGCCCAGGCAGCCCCACACCCAGCACTGAGCTCCAGCCTGGTCAGAGCCAAGGAAGGGCTGGGAATGAGGGCTCTGCTCCAGCCCCCCCACCCCGGGAAGGACAGCACCAGGCCCTGCAAGGACACTGCCAACAGCGCCGTGTGGCTGTTGTGAGAAGCAGATTTTGGGCCACTCTTCAGCTGTCAAAGCCATGGCTGAGTCCACAGGCCCAGCTGGCAGGGGTTTGAGGTGCAGGATCCCCCAAAAGCACCTCTTTTTCTCCAAAGACTATGGAAGAGCTGGGGAGAAAGGTCTCACCCAAAGGCTTGCTGCTCCCCAGGCAAGAGCTGGCCCCTGCCACAAGGTCATCCCCATGGTGAGGGACATGTGTGACCTCGGAACTCTGGGAAAACTGTAAATTGTGGGACACAAACCTCCAACTGCTTTTGAAGTCCTAATAAAGGTAATGGGTAAATCTTTATCCTGCTCCATCCTGCCATGCCCATTCCAGGGGTGTCCCATAACCCTGGTGCCAATTTCCTGGGAATAATGAGCAGCTTTTTTGGGTCCAGCTTAGCTGAAACCAAACTTCACCTCTTCAAACTCCACCCAGAGGGCAGGCAGGGATGGAAAACCAAGAGCAGATGTGAGGCCACCCATGGGGACCTCAGCAGTGCCAGAACATCAGCTTGGGATGGGACAAAGTGAATCATCAGGATCCAGAGCAGCAGAACAGGACCAGCAGCTCCACTCTCAGCTAGATCTGGGCTTGAAGGAGAAGCTAAAAAACACCTTGAGATTTGGTTTGTAATTAAATTATCTTGGCATGGCAGCAACAGCTGAGGGTGGTGGGCTCAGGGCACCTAAATCAGGGCTGGGGGGGCTCAGTGGGCATGGGGGCTTGGCTGGATGAGGGTGACAAGGGCATTGTGGCTCAAACTGTCCCCTCTCAGAGAGCCCAAGGCCTCTGTGTCCTGGTGTTTCGCGACATTTTGGGCTTCAAGCAGCTCCTGCAACTGCTCTGCACCCCAAAAACAGCCAGAGAAGGGTACAATTCTAAGAAAAAAAGGCTTTTCAGAAGTAAGAGGATGGTTCTTTACCACTAAAGCAACTCTGTGGAAAACTGGAATTCAGTTTAAACAGCTCAAAAAAAAGCATTTTGGAATTGATTTTTACTAGTTAAATAAAACTATCCCAAATTAGTTCTGCCACATAGATATAAAAGTTATTTAAGCATATTTTACTTATAAAATTGGTTAATTAAAAAAAGGAGAATTCACAGGGAGAGAAAAGAACTGGCTGTTCCTGGTTTCCACATTTGCCAAGATTTTAGCACTAGCAGAGCTCATTGCTCCATTCCTTGTTTTCAGTTTCCAAATGGAAGATAGAAGTTTTTTTCTGGCCTTCCCAGCTCCAGATTCCTCAGATCTCTGTAAACAACTCACTCAAGTGACTGAACAGAATAATAGAAAAAATAAAGAAAATTTGCTGTTTGCTAATTTGCTGTTTGCACTTGTGTCAAAAGCAGTTTTTGTGACCCCGGTCCTGCTCTGCTGCTCCTTCAGCCCAGGGATTTGGCTTCCTTTAAAATGCCATAAGTAAATAAATATTTCTGTAGTGTTGTTGGTTTATTTGAAATGCTTGGAGTAGTTTCTAAGAAGCTTGGAGATGGGGGTTTATTTCATTCTATACTGAGAGTGGTCTGTGTTTATAACACATTTAATGTAAATAAATATATCCGTCTGTACAGGCCAGGCTCTGTATTTTGTCCTGATTTCTGTCATTGAATCATGGAATCACACAGGTTGGAAAAACCGTCTAGGATCATTGTGTCCCCCAGCACTGCCAAGGCCACCACTAGCCCCTGTCCCCAAGTGCCACATCCACACAGCTTTTAAGCCCTTCCAGGGATGGGGACTCCACCACTGCCCTGGGCAGCTGTGCCAGGGCTGGACAACCCATTCAGTAAAGGAATTTTCCCTAATATCCAATCTAAACCTCCCCTGGCACAGCTTGAGGCTGTTTCCTCTTGTTCTTGGGAGAAGGGACTGACCCCCACCTGGCTACAACCTCCTTCCAGGTAACAGTAGGCAGGGGAAATCCCTGTTTTCCATCGGGATGCCCAGGCAGACAGCTGGGGTTGCCTGGGGAGCTGAACCTGGGGGTTCAGCCTCATCTTTTCACAGGAGTTCAGTGAAACCCAGCAGTTCCAGCTCTGGTAAATAATCCCCATAAATCTGACATGGAATTTCTCCTTGGACCAGTGAGTTCAGAGAGATAATCCCCCACACCCCAAACCTTCTGCAGAGCTGGGCTGTGGCTCAGCAGCAGCTCCTCGGTCAGGATTCCCCGGGCTGGGGATCACCAGGACCCCTGGAGCACACCCAGGAAAAGCTGTTTCACTTGTTTAAGAGCTCAGGGAAAGGTGGGTGGACACGGAGCCACCCTGAAGAGAATGGAGTTTTGTTTTTTTTGTTTTTTTTTTTTTCTTTTCCAAAGAATCCGGAAATCATGGAATGTGACGCTGCTTTAGATGGGATGCTGTGGGTTGGGAATGCAGGAATTGCAGAGCCAGAAAATGGCCCGGCTGAGGTTTGGGAGCCGATTATGCAACCGCGGCTGTGCCCGGCCCGGCGCTCGTCATGCGCCGCTTCTGCCTCATTTACTGCGAGACAGCGCCGGGGACAAAGCCAGCCCGGGGGACCCGCCGTGCCGGGACAAAGCCAGCCCGGGGGAGCCCTCCGTGCCGGGACAAATCCAGCCCGGGGGAGCCTGGCCCGGCTCAGCCCGGCCCCGCCGTGCCGGGACAAAGCCAGCCCGGGGGAGCCCTCCGTGCCGGGACAAAGCCAGCCTGGGGGAGCCCTCCGTGCCGGGATAAAGCCAGCCTGGGGGAGCCCTCCGTGCCAGGACAAAGCCAGCCGGGGGGAGCCTGTCCCGGCTCAGCCCGGCCCCGCCGTGCCGGACCGTGCGGGTTTAGCACGGCTGTGACCCAGAGCTGCGCAGGGCGCGGGAGCTGCAGTGACACTGCGGCGTCATCCAGGGCTGGGCTGGGCTGGGCAGCTGCGGCTCGGCTCAGCCCTGACGGATTTAAACACGAGCTGGAGTATAAAACATAAAAACACGCCCAGATGTTGCCGCTGTGGGGTGACGGGACACCTGATAGCGGCAGGACCCGCTGTTCCCTCTGCTGCCGGGACTGACATTTCCCTGTGACACCACCGCGTCTCCAGCAGCAACACCCGGGGGCTTCTCGGAACAGCCCTGCTCTCACTCATGTTTATCGAGCAGCTCTCCTCTCCCTACTCCCGCAGCTCCAGCGGCTCCGGGGGTGATGCTGCTGCTGGAAACCAGAGCCACACACAGCAAACGGGGGCCTGGGCGAGCCAAATCACCTCCGGACACAGGACACCCCCTGAACAGCAAAGGCCAAACCAGTTTGATTTGGGGCAACAGGGGCTTTATGTGGGATTAAAGTCCTTTAAATACCCCCTGGAGCTGCCCATCCAAGCTGCTCAAAAGCAGGGATGGGTGGGCTGTGTCCTCTCTTCTTCAAGGCCAGGCTGGACAGGGCTTGGAGCAGCCTGGGACAGGGGGAGATGTTCCCATCCCAGGGATGGCACTGGATGGGCTTTAAGGTCTCTTTCAACCCAAACTACTCCATGATTCTCTGATTCCCTTCTCCATCTCTTCTTCTGACCCCTCCTACCTCCTTTCCCCACCATTCCTCTCCTTAATCCCATGGTATTTCACGTTTGCATCTCAGGCAGGAGCAGGAAGATGCTCATGACCAGGTTTTCCCACAGCCTTGTCCAGCTGAGGATCAGAGAAAGCTCCCAGAGCTCTGGATTTGCAGTGGGCAGGTTGGATTCCAAATCAGCACCAGGGCAGGACAGCTCCTTGTCACACCTGTGACAAACCAGCTCAGCAAAAGTGTTTGCTGAACTTTTGACATTTTGGGAGAAATTGGAAGCAATTGGCAGAAATAGGATTCATCTGACAACGTCCAGCCAGCTCTATCCCCACAAACAAAGAGAGGAAAACATCACAGAATTATGAATCCTTTAGGTTGGAAAAGGTTTCTAAGATCATCAGTCCAACCATTCCTCCAGCTAAGGCCACCACTAACCCATGTCCCCAAGTGCCACATCCACACAGCTTTAAAGCCCTCCAGGGATGGGGACTCCATCACTGCCCTGGGCAGCTGTGCCAGGGCTGGACACCCCTTTCAGGAAGAACTTTTCCTTAATACCCAACCTAAACCTCTTCTTGCTTTAAGCCAGAAATGTCCCAGGGTGGTCAGCCCTGTGGGCCAAAGCTGCAGAGCCAGGCAGGAACATCAGAACACAACCAATCTCACCTCAATCTGATTTGGGTCTTGCTGTGATGAGGAAACTTTTAATTGCAATAAACAGGAGAATATGGTGAAATCATGGATCACTGGTCTCATCCTGAGGCAAACAAAGCTCCCCAAGCTGCACACCTGTGAAAATGCCTGGGATGAGGTAGCATCACCATGAACACCTATGCATTTATGCAGGGGGAAGGTGCAGAGCTGTTGTTGTGATCATGGACACACAGATCCATTTTAAACAGACCCCCTACTATATAAGGGGGGGCTCCACAGTTTCCTTCACCAGGTGAAAGAAGGAAACATTCCCAACCAAGCCACACCTGAGCAACTCACCAGCAGAAATGGCTCCAGGTACATTTTCTTTTGGTTTTAAAGGATTTCCAGTGTTGGGTGTGTAGGGTGACAGGAGATGATGATGGGGTGGTTCTGTGGTGGGCTACACACACTCCTTACCATTCCTAAATTAAAATTTGTCAATTTCTAAATCCATGAAAAAGAAAACCTTTCCCTGAAGTGTAACTGTAATTCACTAATCTTTAACCTAAAGTGGGCAAGGAGAGTGTTGTGAACTTAAAAAACAAGATCAATCCAGTTGTAATAGGTACTATTACCATAAATGTTGTCAGGGATAATAAAACTCATATTCCAAACTTCAGACAGGGATGAGGATGATGTCTAATAATGCCCAAGTCCTACACACTCCAGGGCATTCCTCCTCCTAAGGGTCTTTGTTTCAGATGAGCTTTGTGGTCTGTGTGAGCACAGGTGGACATTTGTGTTGGATGTCATGGGCTGAAAACCTTTAGGCTTGACCAAAATCAACAAATCCTAAAGGTGTGACCCAGGGACCAAAAGCAGCTGGTCACAGCATAGGTGATGCCACCAGTGAGAGCAGGGACAAGGCCTAGGGGAAAACATGACTATGTCAGGGAAAACCACAGGGACACCCCTTAGTTTTCATGGAGCAACCACAATTCCAGCCAGGAAGATGCTGCTGGTCTCACTGGGAGCAGCCCCAGCCCCAAGGGCAGGTCCAGTGAAAGGGTCTCCCTCAATTTCAGGGAGGGCTGAGCCCATCCAGTGTCCAACAGGGCACCACGGAAGGTGAGCGTGGATCCAGCACAGGCAGAACAAGCTGGGAATGAATTCCCAGGTGCCACCTCCTCCTCAGCACAGTCCCCAAGGACTCCCAACACCTTCCTCTCCACTTTGCAGGGTCCTGGCTCTCTCCTCTGGCCATTGCTGTGATCACCCTGGGACTGCAGTGGCCACAGACAGCTGCCACCTTCCCGGCCATGCCCCTGTCCAGCCTGTTTGCCAACGCAGTGCTGAGGGCTCAGCACCTTCACCTCCTGGCTGCCGAGACCTACAAGGAGTTTGTGAGTGCTGTGGCCTAAGGGCACCTCCTGGTGTTTCCTTGATGGCTCCAGGACTGTAAAACTTCCCAGAGAATTCCCAGCTGTTGGTGTCTTTGCCAGCTCTCAGGGAGGAGAAGGAACCTTAACAGAATAGGGCAGGTTGTGTCCCACCAGCCTGGACACTGTCACCTCTCTGATGCCTCCTTGGGGCCATTTCCACCTGTGTCCAGGCCCCTGCACAGGAGTAGCTGGGAGGTGGCACAGATATTTTGAAGGATTTCTGTGTCACCTTTGTCCCTGGGAGGGTCTGGGTGCTTAAACCCAGCAAGTGTCTGCTGCTACCCAGGAGCTGGCACAGGCTGTCCCTTTGGCACAGGCTGTCTCTTTGGCACACACTGTCCCTTTGGCATAGGATGTCCCTTTGGCACAGGCTGTCCCTTTGGCATAGGATGTCCCTTTGGCAGAGGCTGTCTCTTTGGTACAGGCTGTCTCTGGGGATCATCTCCTCCTTGGGAGAACCTGTTCCAGGTGTGTTCTGTTCCTCCCCTTCCTGGGGCAGTGTCTGCCACCCTTGTGACACCCTGTTCCCTCTGGTGACACTGAGTCACCTACTGCCCTGGGCACAACTGGCCCTTATTGAAGAGCAGCCCCTTGCCCTAGGGAGAGGGAGATCTTCAGGGCAGCTGTTGTGCCAACACACAAACTCCTGTTTCCCAGCTCTCCACCCTCTCCAGAGGCACCTCCTGTCTCCCATTTATTCCTTGCAAAGA